GCCCCAGCGTCGCGCACTGTTACTTATGTGTTGGAAGGGCGGGTGGGAGTGAGCTATACGGCTTGCAATCTCGGGGGCATCTTGATCACTGTTCGTTAATGATATGCACCCCTTCCCCCAAGCCACCGGGGGCCAACCAGGCACCATGCCGACACCATGCCCACCCGCCCCCCACCATTCCTGTCAAAAACAATACAAGCCGCACACTTCCTCCACATTTGGAGCATGCGCGGCCAACCCGCTGCCGCCACCCCCCACCATCCATATCAAAAAAATAGAATACCGAAGAAAAACCCAATCCGCTTTTTTTAGGGTTATAGGGTTATGGGGCTATAGGGCTATAGGGCTCTAGGGCTATACGGCTATAGGGCTATGAGGCTATAGGGCTGTAAGGCTATAGGGCTAAGAATAAGGCTATAAGACTATAAGGCTCTAGGGCTATAGGGCTATAGGGCTATTGGGCTATACTGAGAGTAGGGCTATTAGGGCTATTAGGTTATAGGGCTGTAGGGCTATAGGGCTACGAGGTTATGGGGCTATAAGGATGTAAAGCTATAAAGCTATAGGGCTATAGGGCGACCGGGCACCTCCAGGCACCCCCGGGAACCTCTGGGCACCCCCAAGCACCCGGGCCGGCCACCGAAATCGGCGACCCGCCTCACCTAAACACATGAATCCACTAGGTTCTCTACAGAGGCAAGCTCGGATTGGGGAACCAAGTACACTTTGGCGAAAGTCTTGAGTCATGTTCGTGACGTCCGCGAACACTTCGTCTTGTTTTTGACAAGGACGGCGGGGGTGTCAGCAGATTCGCTGCTGCACGCAAGGGTACCATCCCTGACAACAAAACATTCCAACATGCACTTCGCGGCTAAATCTGGACCGTGCGTGACCATCCCTTCGCGATCAGTGTCAAGTGATGTTTGACAAGGACGGCGGGGGTGGTGACGCGTGGACTGCCGTACGCAGGCCCAGCTGACACAATGATGGGCATCGGCTTTCGACAAGGATGGCAGGGGCCGACATGTTTCCCGATGTGTGCTGTCACCTGCGCAAACGCACCTGGCGCACTCTGCACGTGCCCCGAACGCGGCGCACCTGGCGCGGCTGGAGTGTGCGGCACACCTGGCGCACTCGGACAACGTGGCGCATCTGGCGCACCAGGCGTGCCTGGCACGCTCGGGCCCCAGGGGTGCCTGGCGCGCGTGGCGCCCCTGGCACGCGAGGCGCACCTCGCCCAAACGTCGCCCACCTGGAGTCGGCTTTGGTCCCCAATAAGTGCCCATCAAAAAATGACCGCTGAACCTTCCCAAGCTCGAGTGTTACCTATGTGCAGGGAAGGCGGGTGGGAGTGAGCTAGACAGCTTGCGGGCGGGTGGGTGTCTTGACCCCTCCCCCTACCCCGTCCCCTGGGCCTGCGAGGGGGGGAAGGGGTATTTAGAGCGTCCAGGATGGCCCACGAGGGCCCCAAGAGGGCCCCTGAAAGCGCAAGATGGCCTCCAAGATGGCTCAAGATACCTCTCGATGGTCCACGATAGCCTCCGACACACATCCAACAGACCTCAAGACGGCCCCAAGACGGTTCAAACGCCTTCCGAGCTCTCCAAGGACCCCCCAAAGAGGCCAAAAGAGTTCAACCCGAAACAGTTTTCATTCAGCAGCGGTATCTGTAATGAAGTCAGGCCCGAAGTACACTCGCGGGGGCTCTGGCCACGGGCATTCTCGCAGCGGGCTACACAACAGTGCGAGACACAGCTGAAAACCGCCCTGATTCAGGAAAATCTACGTGGTTAGCTTTCGCTTCAAATGGGCCCTCGAAGCCTCAAGATGGCTCCAGGACGGCCCAAGAGGACCCAAAAAGGACCAAAAAAAAAACCGAGAGCGCCCAAGAGCGCCCCAAGAGCGCCCAAGAGCGTTTCTGAATCCGTGACACCCCTCTTTTTGAAACATGGGGCCCAACACAACCCCAACAGGCCTCCCAGACCCCCCACCGAGCCCCAAGAGAGCTCCGAAAGAGATTCCAAAGTGCCTATAGAAGTTCCGCGAAGACCCTCAGGGAGCCCCATGATGGCCCCAAGAGACCTACGAGAAAACGCTCTCAAGGCGTTTGTTGCACTGCACGCTTCTGCACCGCCCTGGTCTACGCAACTTGACTGGCGATCTGTTTCTGGATAACCAGGTGGGGATACTTTTTCGTTCGCGGGCGCACGAAGCAGGGGCAGGCTATGCCGCCTGCAAAAAAAAAACAGGGCAGGAAACAAAGCCCAGCGCGGGGCGGAGCACTCAGTGCGACACGAAGGCGATGAGCACGGCGGGCAAAGTACCGCCCAGCCCGCGAAGCTGCCACCTGTAAAGAGCGCGATAGATGACGAAGAGCACGAGGACCGGAAGCGAGAGCCACCCTTGCCGACCGGGTAAAATCTTGAAGCGTGCTCGAGAGCACCACGAGCAAGTAGGAAACGCAGCCAAAATGGCACGAAAGAGAGAGTCGACCCACTGGCGGCCGAAGTGCGCAGGTAGCGCAGGTAGACGAGCCAGTAGCCGACCATGGAGAGCACCGGGCCCCAAGCCGCTTCGTGACCAGCAGGACGTGCGAGGAGAAGACGCGAAAGCAGCACTCACCCGGGGGCTAGGCAGACTGGGCAAAACTGGTCGCACAAGAAGGACACCAGGCGTCTGGTGGGAATACTTTTGATCGCGACCGCGGCAAGACAGGTCTGGCCGCGTAAAGAAACGAAGCGCAGTTGCATCGGCTTAAATTAGCGCACAAGTGCGATGGGGATATTTTCCCGTCGCGGCCACAAGCGGAAGCGCAGGCGGCGTCCGAAGTCAGCCCGGGCTACGAGCCAAACCGAATGACCTGGTGGAGGGGGATACCTTCTCCTTCGCGAGCGCGCAGGAGAAAGCCAGGCGCCGTCAAGAAACGCGGCTAACGAGCAGCGGACTAAATTCCGCACAAGAGCGCACAGGAACGAACTACGCTGCGGCTCACACCGGTGGGGGGGGGGGACTGTTGGTTCGCAACCGCAAGCGGACAGCCGCGCGGCGTCGTGAAGTCGCGCGAAGAGCGCAAGCCAGTGCAAGAGCACAGCGCGGCTGTCGCCGGGCGAACGCGGAAAAAGGAAGGGGCCACCATGCGGAAGAGGCGCTCGGGCGGCGAAAACGGTCAGGCGACACACCACGGCACCGCAAGCGAGGCGGGAGGACAAGGAGCTGACGAGAAGACGAGGACGACGAAAGGAGGGAGAAACAAAAACTAACGCAGCGCCGCTCAGAGGCGGAAGACCGTGCCCGTGAACGCCAGGAACACGTCATCCTCCAGGTTCATGCGCAGCGAGTGGAACAAGCGTGTGGCCTGAATCCGCGTCATCAGCTGCCAGGCGTCGAAGGTGATGAACCCGCCAGGAACGAGCGTCGAATACCGCGAGCATGAACCAGCGGGAAGAGGAACCAGGCGACGGCTCGCGCCAGAGAAGAGCGCGCCCAGGAAGTGCAAAGGTGGGGGGGGATGCTTTTTGGGGGTTCGCGGCTCCAGGGCGAGGGACAGGGAGCGGGATCAACGTCCGGGGCGCGGAACGAAGTAAATTGGCCTCAGTGGCGCATGCACGTGCCAGGGACAAAATGACCATCATTGAGACGCAAACGGCGTCGGCAGGTGACCGGCCCAGACATCCCGGCAGGTGGGGACGCAGGCGGCGGAACAGGGGGGAGAAGTCGCCCTTTCGGCGCAAGGGGGGGGCGGATACGCGAACCGTCAAGAATCCTTGATCCGTCTACAGAAAGCTTCTAGTGGAGTCTCGTCGTCCGATCGCGCTGGCCACTCGGAAAGCCCGTTGCCTGAAAGGGCCTATAGACGTCGTCGGTCTTCCCGCTCCAGACGGCTCCAAGATGGCCTCAAACACGGCCAAGATGGCCTCCAAGGCGGCTACGATGGCCACAGGAGAGCCCAAGACGGCCTTAAGATGTCTCTAAGACGTCCCACTATAGTGTTCAGACGGCCGCAGATGGCCCCAAGGTAGCCCAAGACGGCCCAAGAGGCTCCCAAGAGGTCTCCAAGGTGGCCCAAGAGGCCTCCAAGAGGATTGAGTTCACTTAGGCGTTTGAAAAATGTTGGCATCTGCTTCCGACGGCCCAAGACAGCCCAAAAGGCCTCAAGATCGCCCCCAGAGCACCCAACGGGCCTCACAGATGGCCCCATGAAGGCCCAAGAAGCCCCCAAGACGGCCCAAAGAGAGCACCCAGACGGCCCAAGATGCCTCCAAGACGCCCAAGATAGCCTGCAAGACGGCCCTGAAACGCCCCAAGGAGGCCCAAGACGGCCCAGAGAGGCCACCAAGACGGCTGCCGACTGCGTCAGACAAGCCAAAAAATCCCTAAGACGACCGAAGGGGCCCCCAAGAAGCCACCTAAGTCCCCTACGAGGCCCAAGAAGGCCCCCAAGAGGCCTCCAAGGGGCCCCCAGGAAGCTCCCAAGAGGCCCCAAGAGTGCACCAAGAGGCTCCCAGGAGGCCGTATCCTCATCCTCCTCCTCCTCCTCCTCCTCCTCCTCCTCCTCCTCCTCCTCCTCCTCCTCCTCCTCCTCCTCCTCCTGATGCTCTCCCTCATCCTCCCCAAATGTTCCTCTACGGGTTTTCACTTGGGCCACAACGTTCGGCCAAATTGGCACTTCCAAAAGACTGGGGGCAGCGGTGATTCGCTGTAGGCGTCTTCGATAGAAAATAGCATTGCCAAAATTTATAGCTCGACGCCGAAGGCAATGCGTGCGATCGCCTGGTTCCCGAGCTCACCACACAAAAAACGGAGTACAGCCAGCTGCTACTAGGACCGGAGCCTACCATTACAAGGACCTCAGACAAGAGAGAACGGAAATGAAGGTGAGAATCAATAGGAGAGGCTGGAAAGAGGTAGCGGCGAATGGACTAATTGCAGCCCCATGGGCCAGTCACAGACGTATCGGTACCTATGGCTAATTGCAGCCTGTGGGGCGTCCACCGTTGGCATCAAATCGTAAACGTAGCAGGTATGGAACCGTCACCGTTCATGGTCAGTGCGTCCCGGATCTCTAGGAACTCCTGCAGCCTGATCTCGCTCGGTGGGAGCCTCTCCCTGAAAACCTGCTCCACGTGATCCTCACCCACCTGCTCGCTGTATATGAGCTTCACCGCACGCTTGAGCCGCGACGCGTCCGCGACCTCGGCCCCTCCAGCCACGGCTCGGAACACAGTGCGAAGAGTGTCGGCTTTCGCGCGGTGGGTCATGCAGGCCTGCAGGATACGCGTGGACGCCTCGGCCATGTCCTGCCAGAGGTGTGCCGCGCCCAGGGGCTCTTGCTCCAGGTGCCCCTTCACCGCGGGGCCGATGGACGCCGCGTCCAGCAGGAAGGAGTCGTGCCCGAACACGGTGTCAAGCTCGTAGTAGGCGACGCTCTTGTTGCCGGCGGCCTTGAGAGAGTCTGCAATCTCCTTCTGCTGCCACACCGGGAACAGCACGTCATGCTGCACTCCGATGACTAGGGCTGGGTGCATGGCTTTGGCGAGGCCCGCCTTCAGGGACATCTTACCGCTCTCGTCAGGCGCCTCCATCGAGAAGCCGTCCATGGCCTTCGAAATCCACAACATGGAATTGGGGTCGTAATTGTTCACCCACTTCTTGCCCTGGTGGTCTAAGTATCGCTCGATCTCGAACTCGTGCTTCAGGCCGTGGTCATCGCTTACGGTCATCCCGTTCACCGTCACGCCGTCCACCCTGCGCTGGCCGAAGCGCTCCTGCCACTCCTTCCCGGAGCGGTAGGTGATGGTCCCGATCTGCCGCGCGAGGCGGAGACCCGCCTCCGGCAAGGGCCCGTCGTAGTAGTCGCCGCCCTTCCAGTTGGGGTCCGACACGATGGCCTCTCGGGGTCTGGAGTCGGGGGGGGGCACGAGAGCAGGCAGGCACCTCGTCGAGCGGCCCCTCCCCCCAGAGCTCCGCCGACTCCCTGCCATGGCGGGTGGTGAGGCTTCGTGTTGCGCACAGACAGTACCCCCCGGTAGTCCGGCAGGCCTCAGCAGGCCCTGCGAGCAGCCTCCGCGCCCCAGGGTTGAGGTGTTGAGACCGCCCCGGCCTACTCGGGGGGGTTGTTGAGGCCAGCTGCGATAACCCGGGGGGCCTGTAGAGGCCAGCCGGGGCTACCTGGGAGTCCCGTCTGTGTGCAACCCGAGGCCTTCCCAGTGGGGGGGTGGCTGGGGTGAGCAGCTGCTTTCGGATCCGCCGGGCCTGTCGCTGGCTGTGGCGGAAGGAGATGCTGCCAGGGAAGCTCTTGGCGCAAGCAGAAATGCTCACGAACTTGTTCAGCCTGTCGGGAAAGTGCCCTGCGGCACACACGCTCTGCATGCCACCCAGCGAGGAACCCACGCACGCGTGGAGTTTGCTGATCCCCAGGAAGTCGATCAGCTTGAACTGCGCCGCCACCTGGTCGTACACCTCGAAGCGCGGGAAGCGGCTGCCGTACGGCTTCCCGTCCTCAGGGTGCGGGCTGGAAGGCCCGCTGCTGCCGTAGCAGCCCCCCAGGTTGTTCGTGCAGATCACGTAGAAGAGGTTCGTGTCCAGCGTTCTGCCCGGCCCGATGAAGTCTTCCCACCAGCCCTTCGCCTTGTTGTTCGGGTGCGACGCCGCGTGGGAGGAAGCGGACATCCCGCACTGCAGGAGTATGGCGTTGTCCTTGTTGGCATTCAGCTCCCCCCACGTCTCGTAGGCAATCTGTCGAGTAGGAGATCGTCTACAAAATTGACCGACCCATAAATGAAAATGTTCGTCTAATCTACGGAGAGGACGTAGAATGTTCGTAGATATACGAACGCTGCGCTACGCCCAGTCGAACAAGTCGAATACGTAGAACGTTCATAGATCTATTAACATTCCAGGTATTTTCGTAGATTCGACTGAAAAATCTGCGCAAATCCATTCTGCAGTCGATCCCCTACTCGAACCTTCAGCTCCGGCAGCGACCCGCCGTTCCGCAGCCTGAACGGCTCCTTCGAGTGGAACACGCTGTACCTCGGGGGCAAAACATGCGCTTATGCCGCTGCTCCCTGGATCTCTCCTGGGGTGCCTTTTGACCAGAACTCCGAGGAGAATCCAGCCGTGGCGACGAGGGCTCTCCAGGACGAGCAGCGGCTTGGGCGGCGCGCACAAGGGGGTAGGGGGAAGGGGGAAGGCTTCTTAGAAGGAGACTGCTTCTTAGAAGGCACTCGCCCTACATCTACAGGGAAGGCCCGCGCCTTCTAAGAAGCAGGGGTGTTTCTAAGAAGCCGTCCCCCCTCCCCCATACCCCCCTTCGCGCGTGGCTAACCTTTCCTCCCCAGGTGCCCAGTCAGGTCCCCGGACGCGTACTCGGGCTCCCTCTCGGCGGCGGCGGCCCCGAAGGCCCGCCCGCCCGCCGCCAGCGGGGCGCGGCACCCGCCGCGGCCCCGGGCCGCGGGCGGGAGCCGCGGCGCAGGGGCGGCGCTCGGAGCCCGCAGCGGCGCGCCGTACGCCGCCCAGGCGCGGCGGGCCGCGGACCACCCCGAGGGGAGGGCGCGGGACGGGCGGATCATGGTGGGCCTGTTTTGCACCACCACCACCAAAGTTGGAGGGGGAGGGGGTGCTCCTCCTCCTCCTCCTCCTCCTCCTCCTCCTCCTCCTCCTCCTCCTCCTCCTCCTCCCTCCTCCTCCTCCTCCTCCAACTTATGGTGGTGGTTCCTCCTCCTCCTCCAACTTGTGGTGGTGGTGGAAAACAGGCCCATCAGATCATGCTGCGCTCGTCAGGGGAGGA